GCGACCCAAACCGCGTTCAGTGTACAAACCAATTTTTTTTTGGCGCTTGCGGCGGGCTGCTTTCGCATTCCTTCCAGCTGTAGGTGGAGAGCCCGCGGCCAACCCGCGACCCAAACCACCACGTTCACTGAACAAACCAATGCCGCGGGCATCTTTTGCATTCGCTTCAGGTGGAGAGCCCGCGGCCCACCCGCGACCACGTTCAGGGTCAGAGTGAAGGGGCCGAACGGTCATTCACTGTCCCTGTGTGCGTGGCTGAAGTGGAATTCAGCGGTGCGGATTCTCGTTGTTGTTGTTGTTGTTGTTGTTGTTGTTCTTGTTGTTGTTGTTGTTTACTGTTGTTGTTTCTTGTCGTCGTCCCACCCGCAACCCGCCCCGCGACCCAACCCGCGACCCACCCCGCGACCCACCCGCGACCCACCCCGCGACCCACCCCGCGACCCACCCCGCGACCCACCCCGCGACCCACCCCGCGACCCACCCCGCGACCCACCCCGCGACCCACCCCGCGCCCCGCCCCGCGACCCACCCCGCGACCCACCCCGCGCGACCCACCCCGCGACCCACCCGCGACCCACCCGCGACCCACCCGCGACCCACCCGCGACCCACCCCGCGACCCACCCGCGACCCACCGTCGACCCAAACCGCGTTCAAGGTACAAACCACCATCTTCGGCGCCTGCAGAGGGTTTTTTGTTCGCATTCCTTCCAAGTGGAGAGCCCGCGACCCACCCCGTGACCAACTCGCGACCAACCTGCGACCCAAACCACGTTCAGGGTACAAACCACACTTTTCGGCGCCTGCGGCGGGCATCTTTTGCATTCGTTTCAGGTGGAAAGCCCGCGGCCCACCCGCGACCACATTCAGGGTACAAACCACACTTTTCGGCGCCTGCGGCGGGCATCTTTTGCATTCGTTCCCGGTGGAGAACCCGCGGCCCACCCGCGACCCAAACCACGTTCAGTGTACAAACCATTTTTGTTTGGCGCCTGCGGCGGGCTGCTTTCGCATTCCTTCCAGGTGGAGGTGGAGAGCCCGCGACCCACCCGCGACCCAAACCACGTTCATTGAACAAACCAATGCCGCCCAAACGCGGCGGCGGATTTTTGCCTGCCGTCTGAGTCTGCAAGGACCTCTTCAAGCCCCGCGCATCCACACCAGCCCGTCCAGCAACTTTGCCCTGGCGAGTTGCCTTGATCAGAGAAGTCGGGGAGCATAACGTGGACAAAAAAGGATTGCGTTGCAGTTACCTTGGGAAAGGAGGGGGAGGCAGGAGGAGTAAACAGGGGACGAGGAGGACGCGGAAGAAGAGAGGATGTAAGAAGAACGTGGAGAAAGAAAAGGAGGAGGAGCAGGAGGACGAGGAGGGGGAGAGGGGAAGGAGGGGGAGGAGGAGGAGGAGGACGAGGAGGGGGAGGAGGGGGATGATGATGATGATGATGATGATGATGATGATGATGATGATGATGATGATGATGATGATGATGGACGACCATGGGAGGACGATGATGGAGGCCGATGAGAGGGAGGACGACAATGGGAGGACGATGATGAAAAGGACGAGGGGGGGAGAGGGAGGACGAGGAAAAAGAGGAGGAGGACGACGACGACGAGGAGGATGACGATGACGATGAGGACGAGGACGAGGACGAGGAGGAGGAGGAGGAGGAGGAGAGCGCCATCGACAGGCAAGGTGGGGGCCACGAGGTCCGCCGGCTCGACGACGCCCGCGTCGCCCGCGCCCGCCCCCTCACTCTTATCCGCAATTGCGGGGTGCTGCGTGTGTATATATATATGTATATATATACATATATATATATATATGTATGTATGTATAGAAACATACGTAAGACATGTAGGATTGTGCACACAGGAGAAGGACAATCTATAGAAACATACGTACGTCGTCCAAGGCGCCTCGGAAGGCGCCTCGGAAAGCGCAGAATACTCCTCCAAGGCGCGGAATCATGTTCCCGGACCGCCTTCCGGGAACATGCCGGGGAGGACCTCCTGAGGGCCTCCAGTGGGCCTCTTGGAGGCCTGTTGGGCTCTCCTGGAGGCGTCTTGGGGCGCGTGTGTGTGTATATATAGGGAAGAAAATGGAATACGTGGAAGAAAGTGGCACGACTCGCTCGGGAGGGCTTGGGGGAGGGATATATATATATATATACATACATACATACATACATACATACATACATACATACATACACACATACATACATACATACACAAACTCATACACATGTATATATATACATATATGTATATCCATATATATATATATATATATATATATAAAAAATAAATGGGAGCCCCCCCCCTCTGAGATCTACCTCAACCACCTTTTTTCGATAACGTGCTCTCCAGCCGCTGACGGGAGAGCGAGATGGCGGGAGAGGTGGAAATTCGGGAGGAGTGGGAAGGCGGGAGAGCGGGAGAGCGGGAGAGCGGGAGAGCGGGAGAGCGGGAGAGCGGGAGAGCGGGAGAGCGGGAGAGCGGGAGAGCGGGAGAGCGGGGGAGCGGGAGAGCGGGAGAGCGGGAGAGCGGGAGAGCGGGAGAGCGGGAGAGCGGGAGAGCGGGAGAGCGGGAGAGAGCGGGAGAGCGGGAGAGCGGGAGAGCGGGAGAGCGGGAGAGCGGGAGAGCGGGAGAGAGCGGGAGGCGGCGGAGAGCGGGAGAGCGGGAGAGCGGGAGAGCGGGAGAGCGGGAGAGCGGGAGAGCGGGAGAGCGGGCGGGAGAGCGGGAGAGCGAGAGAGCGGGAGAGCGGGAGAGCGGGAGAGCGGGAGAGAGAGCGGGAGAGCGGGAGAGCGGGAGAGCGGGAGAGCGGGAGAGCGGGAGCGGGAGAGCGGGAGAGCGGGAGAGCGGGAGAGCGGGAGAGCGGCCGCCCCGGCCGCCCCGGCCGCCCCCCTGCTCTCCCGCTCTCCCGCTCTCCCGCTCTCCCGCTCTCCCGCTCTCCGCTCTCCCGCTCTCCCGCCTCCCGCTCTCCCGCTCTCCCGCTCTCCCGCTCTCCCGCTCTCCCGCTCTCCCGCTCTCCCGCTCTCCCGCTCTCCCGCTCTCTCTCCCGCTCTCCCGCTCTCCCGCTCTCCCGCTCTCCCGCTCTCCCGCTCTCCCGCTCTCCCGCTCTCCCGCTCTCCGCTCTCCCGCTCTCCCGCTCTCCCGCTCTCCCGCTCTCCCGCTCTCCCGCTCTCTCGCTCTCCCGCTCTCCCGCTCCGCTCTCCCGCTCTCCCGCTCTCCCGCTCTCCCGCTCTCCCGGCTCCTCTCGCTCCCCCGCTCTCCCGCTCCCCCCGCCCTCTCGCCCTCCCGCTCCAGGCGCGAAGAGGAGGAGGACGACGATGACGATGATGAGGAGGAGGAGGAGGAGAAGGAGGAGGAGGAGGAGGAGAATCTCTCCTCTGCCAGCCGCTGGCACCTCCCCGCTCTCGCCCTCCCGCTCCAGGCGCGAAGAGGAGGAGGACGACGATGACGATGATGAGGAGGAGGAGGAGGAGAAGGAGGAGGAGGAGGAGAAAGAGAATCAAAGAGGAGCAGGAGGAGGAGGAGGAGGAGGAGGACGACGACGACGAAAGGTGGGGACGCAGGAGGATAAAAAAGGGAGAGGGGCCTCTGCATGGCTTGGGCCTGTGCGCGTCCAGTGACCGCTGGCACAGTAGGGGAAACTCCCCAGACCCATCCTTTGATACCTTGGGCAAGCCGTAGCTTGCAAGCGAGGCATGCCGCTCCAGAGTGCCCGCGTGATGAGATTGGTGTGACGATCCTTTTCCCATAGCATTCGCAGTTGAAGTCCGAGTAGGGCTCTCAGAATTGAGAGTCCGCGTGATAGACCAGGCAAATCCGTTCACAATGAGGCCGAATGATGATGATGAGGAGGAGAAGGCGGAGGAGGACGACGACGTCAGTCGCCTGGCGCTGAACCCTTCGGGGCTCGTGCCAGGTGCGAGCAGCGCTGAACCCTTCGGGGCTCGTGCTACTCCAAGTGGGAGCGCTGAACCCTTCGGGGCTCGTGCTCCCAGTCACCTGGCGCTGAACCCTTCGGGGCTCGTGCCAGGTGCGAGCAGCGCTGAACCCTGCGGGGCTCGTGCTACTCCAAGTGGGAGCGCTGAACCCTTCGGGGCTCGTGCTCCCAGTCACCTGGCGCTGAACCCTTCGGGGCTCGTGCCAGGTGCGAGCAGCGCTGAACCCTTCGGGGCTCGTGCTACTCCAAGTGGGAGCGCTGAACCCTTCGGGGCTCGTGCTCCCAATCACCTGGCGCTGAACCCTTCGGGGCTCGTGCCAGGTGCGAGCAGCGCTGAACCCTTCGGGGCTCGTGCTACTCCAAGTGGGAGCGCTGGACCCTTCGGGGCTCGTGCTCCCAGTCACCTGGCGCTGAACCCTTCGGGGCTCGTGCCAGGTGCCAGCAGCGCTGAACCCTGCGGGGCTCGTGCAACTGAGTCGTGTCGTACCGTCTTGATTATCATTCATACACTCATTGTGCCTTGTGAATAAGGGGCCACTAACGCCAATTTTTGTTTTAGGTCCCGGGGCCCGCCTTTGAAAATCTGAAGATTTTGCATTGAAGCGCTGCCAGGGCATTTCCAGCCACGAATTCCTGACGCGTTTCGTATGTTTTGTCTCGTTGATTTTTGTTGCACGGTATTTGGGGTTCCGGAGCATTGTTTCTCACTCCCGGGAGCCCTCCGGTGCCCGACAAAAATGACGATGACGATGACGATGCTACGCCGAGGACGATGACGATACTACGCCGAGGACGATGAGGATGATGATGCGGATGCTGATGCTGATGATGATGATGCCGATGCGGATTATGATGGTGGTGATGATGATGAGGAGGAGGAGGAATAGGGTGACGATGGTGATGCTGCCGATTATGCTGCTGATGATTCTGCTGATGATGCTGCTGATGATGAGGGAGGAGGAGGAAGAGGAGGAGGAGGAGGATGAGGAGGAGGAGGACATCGGCATCCAACGCAGTCAAGGAAGAGCCCGCCGCTGACGGCCAGAATGGTTCTGATGTTGCAACTCAATTATGCAGGGGCGGAGGTGATCCGCCCCCCCCGAAGCGCTCCAAATACGACGGAATCCGGAACAGAGTCACATCCGCAGCAAGATTGGCGGACAGCCTGGGTAGCCTCCTTGCCGAGGACGGGGTCGGCGAGGCTGGCCAGGGACTGGAGCCCGTTGTGGAGGGCCCGCAGCTTCTGTCTCGAGCGCAAGGGCAATTGCTGGACGTTGCTTCGCTTCTTCCTACCGATGCCACTTGGGTGGCGAACGCAAGCGACGACCTGCCGGCCACGGTGGCCAATCGTGTTGCTCGTGAAGATCTGCTGGCTGCACTTGCCATCATCAAAGAGTTGGTGGACGGTACCATTACGCCTGGCAAGATAACCCTCACCGACAAACTCTTTTTCGTTTTATTGAGATACGGTGAGGTGTATCGCAGCCACGATGGTGAATTGTATTTCTATGACCACTCCATCACGCCGAAAGGCTGGTGGGAGAACAGGAAAGATTCGATTGTCGACATGCGGCCGAGTTTGAACATGGCAGAGGGCATGTTGTATTTGATATGCCAAGACGTGCCAGAGGTCGGCGACGGGCGAAGGGGGGTCGGGGGAAAGGTGGCCGCGAAGATTTTTTTCGACGGGGTTCCGCTGGGGAAGCCATGCTCAGTAAATTGCACCCAACATTTCTTCGCGGCTACTTTTGTGCCCCGCCCCCTTTCGCTCGCCCCGGGAAAGGAGCTCGTCTGGTGCTGGGACCACGTGGGCCATGCGCTTCGACAAGCCATGTCGACGGCCTTCCACCACGGTACCTCTTTGGTAGAATTCCCAAGCGAATGCCGACAGCAGGCGAAGCTAAGCTGGGATCGGAATTTGAAGGTGACCAAAGGGAAAAAGTACATGGCCCATAGCTTAGCGAAGCTCGCCGAGATCTTGTCGAACCTTCCAGTCTATTACGAACAGGATTCAGCCAGAGGGGCGAAGTCGGACATCTGGAAGGCGTTCACTGCCAAGCTGAACACAGATAAGCCCCCGTCACAGGGATTCGTTTTCGACGACGGCTACAGGGATGCGAGCATGGCCCAGGCTGAACCTGATCCGCAGAATAACTGCTACTTCCGCGTGCCCTTCAAGTATGAGGAGGTCAACGTGGCGCTCGCTGATTGCCCCGTGGTCCGAGGGCGCCAGTATTCATTATCCGACGTGCGGGCGGTGGTTCATGATTACATAGATTCCTTTTTCTTTAAGAACGACGGGTACTTCGCCACCTCATGCGCTGCGACGTACTGCGCCTTCTTCGGCATCCACGTCCCCGTCATGACGGTGGCGATAGGTGAAGGTGGTTCGGACGCAACTCCTGGGGGGCAAATTCAGAACTCGCCCTGGTTCAACCAAAATCCGGCCCAAATCAATTCAATCATGCTCAATCAGGCTTAATCCCGTTTAATCAGGCTTAATCGAAGGCCGAAACTAGCCTCGCGGCCTTTAGCCGAATTGCCCCTAATCCTTCCGACGAATTCTCCCAGCAGTTGCATCTTAAAGGTGGCGATGGCAAGGGCGCTTTCGACATCCTGGAGTCGTCGCTCTTCGGCAAGCAAAACTCGGCGACGCTCGACCCGTCCATATTCGTTGACGACAACGAGTGGCGGAAGAGCGCTCACTTCGGCCTACACAAGAAGCGAGTTTGCATCAAGGAGTCCAAAACAGGGTCGTCTCACATGCGGATTAACGTGGACGTGCTCAAACGCTTCATTGCAGGCGAGGAGCTGATTGTGAGGGCCAACTTTGGATTCTCCAGCGAAGTCCGCTTCAACAGAATGAAGAAGCAGCAGAGCTGCAACTACGACGACGTGGCCCCCATCATGTCAGTTCCCCGAAGCGTTGCAGCGCTGGACCTGGAAGGGCACGGAGAGGAGGCAGCACCAAGGAAGTCCCCCACGGAGTCTGTGGATCGTCGTTTTTTGACGTCGGCTGTGGGCCTTGCGACACTGGTCACTGATGTCAAGGACGTGGACCATGAAAATGGCCGCTTTCTGAAAATCGCATCGGATGTTTTAGAGACTATATTGGCATGCCCCGCTGCAGCCCATGTTTATTTGAGAGAAATTCTACAACCAACTTGGGATGAACTCGGGGACTCGTCAGCCATTGTGGGAACGCTCGAACCAGAAAATCTCGATGACCACATGAAGGTGTCGACGCGTTGGTACATCCGCCGCCTGACCAACCAGCAGTGCGAGCCCAGGCCCAAGTGCGTCATGGACTCCTCATCGGGGGCCGGCAACGGGCGATTCGGCGGCAGCGACACCGACTGGGACACGCTTGCTGGCTGCCTGAAAAAGTTGTGGCAGGAAGAAGGCAAGAAGACGCCCGCAGAGGCGCGCAAGTTATCGAAAGGCAGGGGTAGACAAGTGGGGGACTGGAAAGTTGCAAAAGAGTTATGCAGTGGACTCGACGTTCCAAGAGCTTCCGCGTATGCGAAATTTGTGTCGCTGGCGAAAAGTTGCGGGCCGTTGGCCGATTACTTGGTCCAGGAAGACACCGACGTGAACTTTTTCGGCAAGCAGCAGCGCTACGCGCTACTATTCCCAGTCATGGCTGGCGTGATGCTGCAGCTTTCCAGAGATTTCAAGATTCCTGCGCCGGCGGCGCCCCCCAGCGAAAGATGGCTCATGGGGGCTCGCCCTGGGGACGCAGACCATTTCTTGTCTGACGACGAACAGGAGCTTCGCCAGATCGGCAGCTCCGTGGTCTGCTCGGTTGCAGACGTCGTGGACATCGCCGCCTTGATTGGCCACGTCGAGTCTGGAGCCGACAGGCGACAGGTCCAGGTTCAGGGCTATGCTCGCTTATTGGACAATCGGGGAACAGCCTCCACGGAGGCCGCTGCAGACGGCGAGCAGCGGCCACTGAAGAGTCTCCTTCGAAAGTACGTGAAGCAAGGTTATGGGCGACTTCATACAGTGGGCCCTTCTCTGCAGAAGATAACCAGGGAAGCTCGGTGCGCCGCTCTGGCTGGGATTCCAGGAGGCGTTTTAGAACTTGACATAAAGGTTGCGTTCTTCAGCTTGTTGGTTGTGGCCTTAAAGCGGCACGAGCAGATCTGCGTCGAGGCAGAGTTCCCACTGCTGTGCGACATCGCCAGCAACTGGGGCGGGTGGAAGAGTTTTGTCTCTGGGTACTTCGACGTCGGGGTGGACGTCGCCAAGAAGCTTCTCATCTCGGCGACCAGTCCCTACGGGCGGCAATCGCCAGATCCAGCGCAGCGGCCTGACTGGCTTCCGCATTTGGATTGCGTGCAAACAGAATTATCGAATGCCTGTCGATTTCTTCTCGAGCACGACGCTCTTTATCAGGAAGTTGCGAAAGCAAGGCCTGAATGCAGCTCGCTCCACATCTTTCTGGGCGAGCTGGAGTGCCGGGTGATGATGAGCATGAAGCATATTTTAGAGGAAGCAGGGGCCGTGCCAATTTCTCTGGTCTACGACGGCATCTACTTCAGGCCAATGGGGCTTGACGTGCACGACGAGGGCTTCATCGGACTTGTGACTGCAGTCGAAGCCGAGCACGGCGTATCCTTGCATCTGAAAGACCTAAGCGGCGCGGAGATACCCTGGAGGAGTTCCGCTCCCGAGCCTGGAGAAGGGGCCCGAGGTCAGGGTGGCGCCCCTCCTTCGCCGCCGTACCACAACGATTTCTCTTCTCTCCTGGCGGCAGCTTGCGAGAAGTCGCAGCAGAAGCTCCAGGCTGTCCCCGGAGAAAATATGTGCGCTGTGAGCGCGCTCGCCAATATGGATTTGGTTGCGGGGGAGCCGAGCCAGTCAAAGTTCGCCTGTGGACCATATTCTTACCGACAGTTGCAACATATTTATCCTTCTCTGGCGTTCCAAGAGGCGCAGCTGAGCGACGTGATCTGCGCCGACGCCGCCCACTTCTTCCTGTTGCACATTGGGGCGCCAGGAACTCGCGGCCACGCTGTTGGTCTTCGCGCCCACGGGGACTCGCGGCAGATGCTGGTGTTCGACTCGCACCAGGACTTCGTGATGCAGATTGGCGATGAGGCCTTGTACGACCTGATTACCCAATGGGACGAGGGCCGACGCCATGCTCGCCTGCTGCAAGTTACCGAAGACGGGCCTGTCGATGGCAACGCCGAGTCAGATTTGTTGGAATTGATTGCTGGCTCCTCTCGGCCGTGCGTGAAGAAGCCTGCGGGTCAAGGTTGCTTGAGGCGGCCCGCCGAAGCTCCGAGTTTCCCGACGCCCAGGAAAGGGCGGGCAAGGGCCGCCGCCCGCAGCCTGGTCGGGCGAACGGCAAAGGCGTCAGCGAAGTCTAAGGCATACAGGAACACGAAGTACGTGCGCCACGGCAAGCCGACGACGAAGAGCAGGGGCGACCGCGACAAGTGGAGCATCGACCTTGAATCCATCTTGGAGATGCCTGACGATAAGCTCTACCGCCGGTGCATCCGCGATAACATCCTGGACAACAAGGAGGGCAAGATGTGTCTTCACTGCTGCAAAGGTTTGGCGGCTGGGAATCAACGCAAACACGCTCGCTGCAGACGGGGGGAGGGGGCTTGGGGATGAGGGGTCGCGAGGTTGGCGGGCGTGGCCGTTGATTCCCACTGCACCTAGAGGTAGACTCGGCTGTCTTCGCAAGGTGAAAGGCCGCGGCCTTCGGTACAGGTGCAACCGCAAGGGCTGTCAGAAGTTCACTGTTCCACATGCTCATCACCCCGTCTTCTCTACTGGGTGGGGGGCCACGCATTCGCCTTTCAAGAAGCAGGTGGCCATCTTGTTCAGCATTCTAGCAGGAGGAAGCAATCCCACGATTCGCAGATTGATCTCTTCCGCAAACCACAAGGCGATCGAAAGGATCTCGATTGCCGTGAAGAAGCAGCGCGAGAAGTTTGTCAAGAAGCGAGAGAAGACGATCGTTTTCGGGGTTGGCAACGACCGCGACTGGAGGGACGCTGAAGCAGATGAAGCAGTCTTTGGAAGGGCAGCCAAGGCGGACGACCCCGAGAGCGTGGAATGGGAGCAATGGGCGGGCATCGTGGAGCGAGGCCGGCCCGAGTCGCTGGTGCTGGCGAAGACTACCGCGGCTCCCACGGTGAAGAGGGCTCCTGGGCCAGGCGCAATCAGGAAGGTTGATTGGGCGCCTCTGGCAAACCGCTACTTGAAAGGTAGGCGCATTATTTTGCATACGGACCGCGCTAAGAGCTACGCCATGCGAGTTGAGGGAGTGTTGCACGATTCAGTGCGGCACTGCAAAAAGAGAGTGAAAAAGAATGGCAAGTGGGTGTGGATGAAGCCGTGCTACGCGCGCTTGGCAACTCATAAGCTTCCATGTGGTAGGAAGTTGCGCACCAAGGCCGGCTCCCAGGTTATCGACAGCGCTTGGAAATACATCCGCTCAACCTTGGGAGGCCAGACAATGGTGCCCAATTCTGAGACGGCCGCCACTGCAATTCGCAGCGCCCAGTGGCTTTACTGGCACAGGGGCAAAGACCTTTGGGCCGAGATGGGATCCACGTTCTGTGCCAACTTTTGGCGGAGGTAAATTGTTACTGCAAACTTGGACAGCGATGGTGTCCTCGTACTTCTTTGCTTTGAAAAGGGCTTCAAGGTAGATCTCAGAGGGGGGGCACGCAAATAAATATATACGTGTATATATATATATATACACACATGTATATGTATAAACATACGTAAGAAATGTAGGATTGTGCACACAGGAGATGGACAATCTAAAGAACCGTACGTACGTCGTCCAGGGCGCCTCGGAAGGCGCCTCGGAAAGCGCAGAATACTCTTCCAAAGCGCGGAATCATGTTCCCGGACCGCCTTCCGGGAACATGCTGGGGGCGACCTCCTGAGGGCCTCCAGTGGGCCTCTTGGGGGCCACTCGGAGGCCTGTTGGGCTCTCCTGGAGGCGTCTTGGGGCGCGCTCAGGGCAATTTTTGGGCATCTTGGGGGCCTCTGGGGGCCTCCGGGGAGGCTCTTGGGGGCCTCTTTGGGGCCTCCTGGGGCCTCGCGAGGCCCTCTTGGGGACCGCTGGGCTCGCTTAGGCAGTCTTGGAGCCCTGTCGGGGCTCTCCTGGAACCGTTTTGGGCGGCTCCTGGGCCATCTTGGGGCTATCCTGGGCCGTCTTGGGACGATTTTTGGGGTCTCTTGGGCCGTCTTGGGGCGGTCTTGGGGGCCTCTTCGGCCGTCTTGGAGCGGTTTTGGGAGACTCTTGGACGGTCTTGGAGCGTCGGAACTCAGAAAAAACGAGAAGGCCAAAAACCTCGAAAACAAAAACAAACAAAATCGACGAGTTTGGCTTGTCGGTGCTCTCTTGGGAGGCCTCTTGGGATGCCCTCGGGGCCTCATGGAGCTCTCTTGGAACGTCTTCGGGCCTTCCTGGCCATTCCTGAGGCATGTATGCGCGTCTTGGAGCGCTCGCGGGCCGTCGTGGGCGGTCTCGAACTGTTCCTGGCGGTCCCAGGGGCCCTCCGGGACGCTTCGGACGCTCCCGGGGGCGCCTTGCGCCCCCCATGGAGATGACAGGCACCGCCCCGGGGCCCTACTCCGACATATATATATATATATATATATATATATATATATATATATTTAGATGCTTCACCCGAGGGCCTGACCAGAAGGCGCGAGGGAGAGGCGAGAGAGGAGGGAAGCCTCGGAGCTCTCGCCGATCTCTTTTACACATCACTCCAGATCTGGCAACTGGTCGCCTCCATGAGGCAATCTCGCTAGAAGAAGGGCTGGCTGAATACGAACACGACTGCAGCCTCACAGAGGCTAGACGATTCAAAGGCTCCGGGGAGCCGCGAAGTGTAGAAGAGCAGACGATTTGGAAGGATTCAACAGCCGTCACCAAGGAAAAAGCCTGCCTTTTTACTCAGGGCAGGGCGGGACGGGTCACTGTGAGCCAATACGATTATGGAGGAGGCCAGGGGAGGAGAGGGAACGCATCAAGCCATTCGCAACCCTCCCACAGGCGGTGGAGACACGAGGCGCCACCACGGGTCAGAAACTGTACTCCGAATCTACAATCGTGCAACTGATGAATAGATGCTTCACCCGAGGGCCTGACCAGAAGGCGCGAGGGAGAGGCGAGAGAGGAGGGAAGCCCCCGAGCTCTCGCCGATCTCTTTTACACATCACCCCAGATCTGGCAACTGGTCGCCTCCATGAGGCAATCTCGCTAGAAGAAGGGCTGGCTGAATACAAACGCGACTGCAGCCTCAGAGAGGCTAGACGATTCAAAAGCTCCGGGGAGCCGCGAAGAGTAGAAGAGCAGACGATTTGGAAGGATTCAACAGCCGTCACCCATCACCCATATTATGATTCACGGGCGGGCGGGTTGGGCACAATTTACACAGAAGAAGAACGAACAGAAAAACAAGTGTACTAAGCACGAGTCTGGAAGCGCACCCCTGTGGCTCGAAGCAGCTTCTGCTCGAGACGATCGGCGGCGCGCTTGAACTGCCGCTGCTGCTCAGGAGAGAGGCGGCTGACTTGCCTCAGGAGCCGACCTTCTTTGCCGTGCCGCGCCACGGAGCGGTCGCTGAGCCAGCCGCCGCGCTTCTTCAGCACCGGAAGCGCGGCGAGGCCGTTCAGGTAGTCGAGGGAGGGGCCGCCGTGCCGCAGGGTGCGCGGCGACACTTTCAGCGCTGCCAGCCCAAGGTGGCGGCTGGCCTCGCGGAAAAGGCGCTCGTAGGTGGACAGCGGGAGCTCGTTGAACAGGCGCTGGACGCGGCGCGCTCTGGCTCTGGCGACTAGCTGTCGAACAAGTTGCCGAAGCCATCCACGAGAACGGTCGAGAGACCCAACCATCACGGTGTCGTCGAACTGCTGATTCTTGCTAGGCCGAGGTGCAGTGCCACTTGAGGGGGGCCACGATCAGCGCCACCTTGTCATAACGGTCGCCAGCCCTGCCCGAGGGCAACGCCGCGTGCTCGAGGGACAGGTTGACCGCAGCCGCCGGACGGAGGTAGGTGTCGAACTGCAAGGCGCTGCAGGCTGCGGCGAGGATGGACTCGGTCGTGCCCAACTCGGGCCAGTGGTCAGCGATCGCGGCGAACACCTCCCAAGGGCACGGGTCGCGGCTGAGCTCTGGGCAGGCTTTCACCCAGCCAGCCAGAGCCTTCACGGCGTGCGGCAGGTTGCGCGAGGGCGCAACGACGCCGTGCAAGTGCGCGTAGCCGAACAAGGTGTGCCGTCCAGCCCACCGTCGGAAAAGAGAAAGTCAAAGTACGGGGAGAGGCTGGCGTCTAGCTGCTCAAGAGGAGCCAGCGCGCGGGGCGGGGCCTGCTGGCTGGCCCAGTGGACGAAGTCCGCGGAGCACGACTCGTAGTTGAAGAGCGCCCCCTTCCCGACGGTCTTGCGCTCCAGAAACCTGTCGCCGGGGTCGTGACCAGCGGCGGCCCGCCGGCTGGCCGCCTTAGCAGCACGTCGCCGTTCTCGATCTGGTGGCTCCGCGCCGAGGGCCGACCCAGACCACGCGCTGGCCCCGGTGCTTGACGGCGTCCTTCCACGGACTCTGGTGGCACCTGGGGCAGTGGGGCCTGAAGACGTCGGCCGGGATCGGGCAGCCTCCGGCTCGCGCCAGGTCAGCTTCCCATCGCTCCAGCGAAGCGGCATCGGCCCCGCGGGCCGTGCCCGGAGCCGCCCGGGCCAAGATGGCTGGCCAGGAGCGGCAGAGTCGAGCAGGATAGCGCCCTGCCAGAGTGGTCTTTCAGACCCATCGCCCCCGAGCCTCGCCGGGCCCTTGGGGCAGAAGAGCTTTCCCTTCAAGAATCTCATGATGATGGTTTCCTGGGCATAGACGATGTAGCCCTTGAAGGGCCTGCATGTTGGTGGCCAGGAGGGTCGGCTTGAGATTTCCCGTTCCGTATGCACAGTTATCGTATCGGACAAAGATCGCGTTCTGGCTCTGCAGCCCCTTCCTAAGGGGCTTCCAGGAGAAGAGCCTCGAGGAACGCGGGTTCGAGTGAGGGACGCCGTACTTCTTACAGAGTTTGATGAGCCCCGACGAGAACTTGGCCAACTGAAGGCCCCCAAGAGCAGCTGAACTCGAGCCCTTCGCGCGGGCCCTCGACCAAGTAGTACACGGGGTTACCAGGTGGAGGTACCACACGAGCCCCCGCTTGACCAAGCCCTTGATGTGCCTCTGGATCCTCTGCTTCGAGACGTCCATGTGGGGGCCCCTGGAGATCTCGATGGGGCACCCGATGTTGAGGTCGGCCTCCTGGCAGGCGGCGGAGAAGGCGGCGCAGCCGGCGAAGATCTCCAGAACGAACTGATGCTGAGCTGACGTCTTGACAACAGGGGTGCTGATTTTTCTGTTTTGCTCAGTCCGTGCTCGCGGGCCTCGCTGACGGGTGCGTCGGCGGGGGCGCGCCGCGCTCGGGCTGCATGGAGCGGCAAAATGCGCGCGAGGCCCCATGCGCCCAAGAGGTGACCGCCGTTCAGGCGGAGTCCGAACCCTCGTCGGGGTCGGGGGGGCTGCGGCCGGCTGCCGAGGCCCCATTCGCCCCAGGCCCGACCGCGAAGCCGGCGGTCGGCGGACCCGAGCGCTGGCTCGGGCAGGGGGCGAGTCGGGGACCTGCGAGCAGCGCTGAAGCAGCGCCCGGCCGTGGCGGCCAGCGACCGAGGTCCCGGGGGGCAGCTCGCCTCGATCGGCCGCCCTCGAGTCGAAGTCGGTCGGGTTCCTCTTGCTCTCCACGTAGCGCAGGGACCAGTCGAGCTCGCAGCCGATGGAGAGGGCCCCGGCGCGCTGGCACAGGCGCCGAAGGGCAAAGCTGCCCGAGCGCCCCTTCTCGAAGCTGCAGGGGCTGGAGAGGTTGTCACCGATCGAGAGGACTCTCCTCCCGTGAAGGCCGACGCACCTCGAGGCCCGCACCAGGCCCATGAGCAGCACGCGGCCCTCCTTCTCATGGATTACCCCGTCGTGCTGCCACGCGCCCTTGATGGCCATGGCCCAGCGCTTGCTCGCCAGCAGCGCGTCCGGCAGCGGCGGGACCCCCACCTCCTCGGCCGGCCGCTCGACAGTCTCGATGTCGCGCCACGGCCGGCAGCGAACCGCAGGTCCGCCGCCGGCCGCGACCGACAGACCCTGCCGGGTCTGGCGAGGCTCGCCACTCGGCCGACCAGCCGCCCACGGCGCCCCAGCAGTCGTCGCTCCGCTCGACCGCGTCGAAGCGCCACCGCTCCCGGTAGCGCGCCACGGCTCGGAACTCTGGCCCCGAGACGGAGGTGGCGTGCAGCGCGTAGCCCACGGCGGAGGAGTCGCCGCAGAAGGCGACGCTGGCAGGCTCCGCGCCGAGACGGGCCTCGGCCAGGAAGAGGAGCCAGGAGGGCACCTCCAGCTCCCAGCGGACGGACGCCCACAGGGGAACCTCCTTGCCGCCGCTCTCGGACATGAAGGACCAGACCTTGTCGAGCGCGGAGAGCCCGAAGCGCAGCAGCTGGCAGCGGTGCACGATGTGGCCGACCAGAACCTGCAGGACCAGCCCGCTGCAGCGGCCTCGGCGCAGCACGGCGCGCAGCGCCAGG